TGTAATCTTCAAAATTGCCGACTAGAATTTGAAATTCAAAATTTTTGTGAACTATTAAGTTATTTTTAGTTACATTCTGTAAATTTATAATTTATTTATTATCTTATGTTTCAATTCTTAGTTTGAATTAAATTTAAAGTGGAAACTTAAGAATACCTAACTTATTTTAAATTTATATCAGAATAAAATAACGTCAACAAAAATAATATATGAAATAGGTAATAATTATCATATAACTCATCACTTATTATTTATTACAAAATGGTTATAAAATGAGTGTTACAGTATTTAAAATTTTAAAAACTTATATTAATCACAATTGAACCCTGCGTTGCTTCAGCGTTGCCCATTTGTGTACAAGATCATCGATATCCAAAGTATCTGTTATGTCTTTTTCACAACTCAACATCATTAGTGCATTTAATCGTTGATCAGCCATTTTCGATCTTAGGTAATTTTTTATTAATTTTAATTTACTAAACATTCTTTCGTCAGATGCAGTAATAACAGGAGCAGTCAATGCTAAATGACAAATTCGATTAACCCACGGAAGAATTGATTTTGATGACTCAGATTTTTCAAAAATGTTATTTAAATTTTCTCCATCACATTGATTTAACAGAATTTCAATTTCTGCATGTATTGCATCAATGTCGTGAATTTTCGCACTATTTGTCATTTCGGGAAATAATTTTACAGCACCCGCAACATTTTCTAATGAACAAGTATTATTGTCAAATGGCATTTTGAAAATATTAAATAAAGGTTTGAGTGTTTCAATAGTTATTTTTAAATGTTCAGTTGTTAAGCTTATCAGTGTATCTAATACTTGTTTAAATTCTTTACGATAAAATAATTTTAATGAGAAGTCTGATTGAGTCATTGGATTAGAATCTATTATTTTTGGTATCGATCGTTTATGATGATGTTTCTTAAAATCTTCTATTGGATCTAAATCTAGTTTTCTTGAAAATATTAGAGCTGCGTCTATAATAGTATCCAGTCCATCAGAATCTTTGTTTATATTTTCAAGCGATTTAATTGCACCCTCTATTAAATTACTTGCATCAATTATATTCAATTCCTTTGCTTCTAACTTCTCTGTGAGTGCTATGAGTTTATATAATACATTTTTCATAAATATTATTGATACAATAAAATCAAATGTTGTTATTTTTTTAAACAGAGCTATTGATTGGCTTTTAGTTTTTCTATCATATAAATTTGAAGAGGAGATTTCTTGCAAAGTTTCAAGAATTATTTCAAACGATGTCCAAACTGCTTTAACCGATTCTGCACGAGACGTCCATCGCGTTTTTGATAAATTACACAACTGCAAACTACCTTCAATTTCAGATAATTTTTTACTAAAAAATTCCATACCGCTTTGTACTGGCATTAAAAAAAACATATAGACTTTCTAGGTTACCAATTAAGTTAAGTATAATGATACTAGCATTGCAGCCATGTTCTAAAAATGTGTTAATACGGTGCGCTTGACATGGGATATAAGGTATATGGTGATTGGCCAGTTTTGAAAGTTCTTTTTGCGCTCCATGGAATTTACCAGACATACTTGAAGCAAAATCGTAAGACTGAAAAGCGATGAAGTCTGGATTCAATTCGTTTCTTACTAAGGTATCGAAAATATTCTTTGCAATCCCAAATCCAGTTTTATCGGTACATTAATTTATTTCAAGAAGTCTCTCTTTAATATTTCCGTTATTATTAACGTATCGCACACATATTGCCAATTTATCTTGATGGGTAATATCGGGAGTCGTGTCTGCCAGAACTGAATAAATTTCTGCATTTTTTACCTCCTTAATTACTCGATTTCTAGTTTCTGAAGATAGCAGTTCTATGAATTCATTTTGAGACCTAGAACCAAGATACGTCACATGATGTGGTCTCATAGATTTATTATCTAATCATATTTTTATAACATTATAATGTCTGGAAAGTAATTCCACGATTTGAATGAAATTTTCATTTTTATCATCTCCATCACCTCTAAACGCCAACCCTTGCCGAGCTAAAGTACGAGCAGTGTCCATAAGTATTTTAATAACTTGCTTATTATATTCGCGCTCATGCTGAATTTGAATTGATTTTTCTCTATTTGCTTGATCAAATAAAACATCAACATGACAAGATATCTTCATAAAATTACAATAGTCTCTTAATGCAGCTTTATGAGCTGAACAAGAGAAATGCTCAAAAAGTTTCCCAGGTTTATTTTTACCCCTACTTTTCATTTTGTGCCAAACCCTGACGCCTTCAGTGACCCAAGCATTATCGGAAAATTCTCGATCCGGACCATTTGGAAATAAAAAACATACAAAACAATAAGCCGAGTACTTTTCAATACTATATTCCAACAAAGGAAATTCAATATACCAACGTGAAGAAAATTGCCGTTGTTTGTTCGTATTGATACTTTTGTTTCTGGGATATGAAGTAAGTTTAGGCTGATGAGGTCCTAATGAAATTAAATAATGTCTCTGTGAACTAGTTATAATTTTTTCTCGTTTGTCTGGATCATGATCAATTATGGTGTTGTATTCGGTTTGATTGTATAAAATATCGGTCGCATTAATGATGATAGTTTGTGTTAAAATACTTGATGCATTTTTAAAAAAATTATCAGCTATGTTTTGAATAGTTCTTACTTTCTGAACACTATTAATTAAAAATAAAATTGGGTTCGGAAATTGTTCAGTTTTAATTTTATCCAAAACTAAATCGCATTCCTTCACTTCATTAACAAGTACTTTCAACTGACCTGCACAAGTTAACCAAGTTATTCCTTCGTTTTCAATATTTTCAGAATTTTGCATAGGTATTACAATGTCAACATTTATGGGTAATTTTGTATCAATATGAAGTTCACTTTTTTCTTTCTCTAAAAGTACACTTTTAATAATAGGACTGTCCAAAGATTTTTTAGTTGCAACCGAATTTTTAGACTGATGTTGCGTACCTACTAAGTTGCATACTGTTGCCAAATCATTATCTATATTATAAGAATTGTCCTCTTCTATCATAACCTATATAGATTTAAAATAATCTTAATAATTGTATTTGCATAAAATGTAGGTATCTAATTATTTACTAATGGTTTTAATCTAAGTATTAAAAAATTTCATAAGATATTTTAAGCCTCGAAATAAACAGGGTAGGTTTTGAATGAAAAATTACAATTTACAACTTGTGGTACTTTCTAAGTCCCAGTAAAATAGAATCGAATAAAATATGAAGCTTACCGATTGTGGTATATATTTTGTATTCCTTTTACTAGCGTCAAATGGGTTATCAGGTGCTCCAAAATGCTTAACCTTCTCTCTTTCCGCCGTGACGATTAATCTCGTGTTTTTTTACGATAGTCATCATCAAAACTTGATCCACACTCCAAACACTCTAGTTTTACACACTTTCGAGACTTATTTGTAGTAGTCGACATTGAATTTAAATGTTCGAACCAGAAGTTTGTACCAGAAAATAACTCGCGAAGTAAGCACAATTTTTAAAATACCGAATAAGGTGTATAACAGACTGTCATCAATTACAGTTGTTCAAACATCAAACATTATATACATTATATACGATAAATGGTAATCGGTAATTTTCGTCTGTTGAGTGTTTCTTCGAAACGCGATTATCACGTATTTTGTATAAGAATAGGTACCCTCACTTGATAACGTATTATATTATATTATATATTGCCCGCCACAACTGTCACCCATAGGCGCCCGCAGAAATTTTTCTAGGGGGGGCAATGTTAGGATTTGAAGATAAAAATTATAATTTTACTAGGTATTTCAAAAGAATAACCTTTTTTATTATACTCGTATACAATATATATTTTATTACGTTACAACTTATTTTATTATTAGTATAGGTATTAAATACATAGGTAAAGGTAACTTAATTAATTCTCAAAAAGAAATTGTAGTCGTCTCACATCTCTTCCGAAACTATCAACAATTTCTTCATAATATTTGTTATTACTAATTAGGTCAATTATCGTAGATTTATGTACATTCATCATGCACAAAGCATCGAGTCTTTCGTTAGTCATAGTAGAGCGTATCCAGGTTTTAACTCTCCGCAAAGTGCTGAAAGACCGCTCAGCAGTACAAGTAGTTGCCGGGAAGCTAATGCCAATACAAATTGCCGAAAATACCGATGGGTAAAATATTTCCGATTCTTTCAGGATATCTAGTACATCTTGACATTTCTGAATATTTGAGCGATTGTCATACCAAATCATTGATTCAGCTGCAAAATTGTCTAGAAAAGAACTATATTTTTTTGAAATTTTTTCAGTAAGCGATCTATATTGATTTTCATCGAGCTTACTCATATATTCTGGTAATAATTGAAAAATAGAATAAGGTACTTCATTTTCTTCTGAAAATCGTTCTTTAAGGGATACTATTAATGAATCAACATATCGAATAAAAATATTAATTTTAAAATAACTTTCAGCACAATCAGCAAGTACATTTGCTTTATATATTTGTTTTTTGACAATTCTTGGTATAGTTATTTTAATATCTGATTCAGCTAAACTACTTTCCATTTTACCCCAAAGAACATTAAAAGTAGCATCTGCAGAATCTCGATGTTTTTGAAATATTTGAGTAAGCGTTGTTTTTTTACAGTTAATAGATTCTGATTAACTCCTTGGAGTACATTAGCAACTGGTTCCAACATAGAAGAATATTCAGTCATAACAAACAAACAAACTAAAAATGTTGAATTACTACAAGAATTATACAATTGAAAAGCACGATTTTTTGTATTACGGTTTACGTCACTTTCCGATAGTTTTTGCAACGCTTCTAATATTATATTAATGTTTTCTTTAAATATCCTTATACTTTTGTATTTGGCTGTCCAACGCGTTTCGCAGAATAGAGGAATGTTTGGAATGTATTTTCTTCTCAAAGGACTTTCTCGAAAAAAATTTATTGAATCTTTATTGTTCCAACCGTGTTACGAATTTCGGAAACATCGCTCAAGTCATTAATAACTAAATTTAACTTATGAGAATTACAATGAAAAAATTTGCGTTTGGATATTTATCTTCAATTTGTTTTCTAACTCCACTTATTTTTCCCGCCATAGTAGAACAACCGTCATATGCTTGACCGACCATTTTTGATAGATCAAGCCCAAATTTTATGAGAGTGGACAGAATTTGTTCAGATATAGTTTCGGCGTCCAAACGTTGCAATGGTACAAAGCCTAAAAATTCTTCCCTTACACAGAATTTACCGGTTGACATTTTGTGCACAAATCGTACTCCTAACGAAAGCTGCTCTATACCGGATATATCACACGATTCATCAGCAATGACTGAAAAGAACTGGCTTT